AATTCCAATTACCTGAAGAAGTCCAGAGCGTACAATGGCCAAAACGTTGAGAATGTGGCAATAAAAATGAAGATGACTGTCCAAATAATGTAAATAATTCAAGTAACCATAATACCTCATCTCAGAGATATAGACATATATAAACCTTTAAATAAATATATAAAAATTAAAACGGTGTTGAAATTAGTTATAATCTAATTTTCATAATGAGACAGATAAAGTATGTGTCATGCTAGCTAGTTTTTCTTTTCAGAACTTATACATATCTATAAGTCTAATATTCATCCATGTTTAGGATATTGTTGCCACATATAGCCTGATGCTCCTGCCATATATTTAGCGATTCTTGATAAAATTCAAAGAAGAATCAGCAATTTTAGTGGTCTTGACCTGGCATCTTGGCTTCAGTCACTTTCCCATTGCCATAAAGTTGCTTCTCTTTGCCTTTTCTATAAATGCTTTCATGTTAATTGTTTGGATGAGCTCTTCACTATGGTACCTAGACTTTATAAATTTAAGCGTAGGACTAGACTGGCAATGATGTCTCATCAATTTACATTTGGCTAGATGTAAATATAAGTAGTATACTAATAGTTACTTTTCTAGCAGTTCTCAATTTTGGAACTCTCTTCCAGCTTCATACTTTATTGTCAACTTTAATCTTTATAAATTTAAATGCAACGTCAATTGTTATCTACTGTTTTCCTAATTACTCTTCTATTGTTCTCACTCCTAGGTAATGTTTCTATTTTCTAATTTTTCCACATCTAGTAACCCTTTGTGTCTTAGTGGATTTACTGCCTCGCTTGTTTTGAATTCAATTAAAATAAAAAAATCAACCATTCATTCACTTAATGGGAATCACTCTTTGTCTCGCTCATATTGATTTTGTTAAAATGAAATTATTTTTTTCTGGTTACTCATGATGGCTGATATAAAGGCAACAGATTAAATGAGATTCTTATTAAATGGTTGAACACCTAATTTTTAAATGCTTCATTATAGAAATTATGTTTGAACTAATTTCAACACAATTTTTCTTTTAACTTATTTATGTATTTACTTAAATGTTTGCATATTCTATATTGTTTAAGTTCCAATTTAATAAACACAGGCAAAAAGCGAAATTGCCCCATCATATATTAATTATACTATATTCATAGATCATGGCATTTTGAATGCATCTTTGCCTGATTAAATAACATTCACTCTTTGTTAAAATGACATTTTCAGGTTGAATTTTAAGCTTAACATCTGTTCCTACTAAATTAGTACTGAAATATTGTGGGATATGCAAACTTTCCAATATATGAAAATTAAAACTGATTTCAAATTAGTTATAAACTAATTTCCATAATGATACAAATAAAAATCAGTGATGTCAAATGAAAAAAATTGACTAAAAACCCAAACATAAAAAAAAACTCTCAGCATTTGGTGCAATTCTGAATTGCTCTAAAGAGTGAGCAACAAATGTATATCTATATTCTTAGTATAAATTTTAACTCAATTATTTTACATTGAACATTGTTTTATTACCATTAGCATACATTGTGTGGCATTTTATATATGTGCATATACGCACATGCATACCCCAAAAATATGAAAAAGTTACACCAATGTAAAGTGTATGAAAAGAATAAAATCAAAAAAATATAAGCAGTAATTAAGTAAATTGTTGATATCCCCTGAAGAGTAGACAGACAAGTCCACCTACAAAACTCTAGAGTCAGGATGCTGAAGGTAACATCAGTCAGACAAGTGACAAACATTTCCTTATCTTAATCCTATATATATATATATATATATATATATATATATATATATATATATATATATATATGGTTTATATTCACACTGATATACATATATATATATATTGCTTGCTGTATGAAACATTTAGTCATGGTTTTATATTTTTTTATTGTGCTCCCCAATATTGTATATTTACTGTTTATATGCACACACACACATGCACATACACAGCACACACACACACACACACACACACACACACACACACACACACACACACACACACACACACATGAACATACACAGCACACACACACATACACACACACACATGAACATACAGCACACACACACACACATGCATATGCTTTGATGTAGTATAAGGGTTTGCAAGCTCATCTCGTTAGATCAGTTACAGCTGAACAGTGAGTTTGATCTTGAGTGCTCTAGACTTTTTGCCTTGTAACACATCTAAAATATGCTTAGTAAATTGCCACACAAACACATACATATTTTTTTTATTGTTCATGTAATTAATATGTAGCAACTGTTTTAATGTATATTTTTTTTCTTTATTAGATGCTATGTTTTTTTTCTTTTTGATTGGCATAACGAATGAGCCGAGGTTTTCATTTCATTAAAAAGAAGACAAATTTTCGTAATTTAACTCCATTAGATTCAGGATAATAGAAGCTTTTATGAAATTAAATTAATAATTATTGGAACTAATCTTTGTCAGGGAAGGAAAAATAATGTTGTTATTCAGTTTGTATGAAATTGATTCAGAATTTGTTTCTTGTTACTCTGTATTGATCATTCTCTCTTTGATTTGCTTTTTTTGAAAAGTCTTTTTCCATTTAATCGGAGGTGTATTTATTCTGGTCGTGTTTACCATCAACTTATGAGATTGGAGGAAAAAAAAAAACATCCCAAAAACTTTAAAAAAAGACAAAAATAAATCTGGGTGACATAACATTAATGGAATTGCATGAAAGAAATGCAAATAACTGCTTGAAAACAGTTTGACTATCAATTCTTTAATGTCTAACCTGCTTTCCTTTGTGTTTGATAATTTTGGTTTCAACTTGGAGGGTTTTTTTATTTCCAAATTTATTTTTTATTTCTTTGTAGTATAATTATTAGGAAGACCTTTTTTTTTTGCATGATTTTATTTCCAAATCTGTCTGGGTCTACTTGTTTTTAATATTTATTTTTTATCATGTTGAAATGACTTTATACATAATTGCTTCTTTTGGAGTGTCTGATTTACAAAAATTATTTACAAAACCTACAGTGACAAAGAGAGAGCCCAACTGCTTCTGTTTGATTTGCTCTCTTATTGAGTTAAATTATTGATTCAGAACAAAAGTCTCTTGACTTTTTTAAGCAAAAATTCAAAGACAATATTTAGATATTTGTGTTGTCGAGTAGTTTTCACAATGGAGGCTTGTACTTCACTAAGTCGGTCCTAAAAGGGTTCGACGTACAAAACGTTAGGAACTTGTAAATAATAGCAATCTAGTTGTGTTGGTTGATACTTCAATGTCCGACATCGACTGACTCACTCAACTCATTGAACCCCCTGGCGACTGCTACTATTACTACTTATTATCTGTGGGAGAGTCTATTAACAATAGAATAGGTATGTTCCAGTATAACAATTTATTTACATCATTCAGACTGTTGTTCTAATCTTTATTTCCATATTCACAATATTTTGGCTGTTATACGCTCCAGCAGCCTTCATGTGGTATACATTGGAATTTCAAACTGAACACTTTATTTAGTCTATGGGGGAGATTGTTCTAATTTCACGTGTGATGCCTTTTTTTTTTTTTTGGAAAATCTCAGTTTCATTTAATTTCCTTTAGTGACTCTTTGTTACCAGGTATTGAACTCACAACTCTTTGGGTCAAGTCACTTTTTGGGTCAATCAAATAACGCTTTCATTGACTGGGCTATGTGTCCTTGAGGACAGATATAGACTGATTAAGATATTTGCACATTCAGTGCTATATGAACCATTTTTTTCATCTAACCACCTTTGCTATCTTTGTGACAGCTTCATGATTTTGTCCTCCAAGAACTTGGCAGCTTTCTGGGTGATGAATTAATATAAATAATTTTTCCCTGCTTCCAGAGAAGTGAAGAGAATTTTGTAGACACTGAAACAGATGGTAATCTGATGTTGCATGGCCAGGTGAACACAGTGGATGTAGCAGGACATCACAACCAAACAGTGCCAAATTCTGCAAGGTCCGACATTGTCCTGATGGAAAACAACTCCCTTCCAATTTTTCAATTCCAAATGCTTTTCTTTGATTGCTGCTTTTAATTAGTCCAATTATACCTGTTTAAATTGAATGTTTGATTGTTTTTTCGTTTTTTTATTATTGATTGTTTTCTATCAAACCTTTGCAGGTTATGCAAAGCCAGAAAATATTTTTAGATTATAAGAATTTTTTTTGAGATAATATTGATTTAGTGATACAAATCTTACTAATTAACACATAGCTGGGGAGAGAAGAGGTGGATTCATACCTTTCCCCAAGTGTATTTGTGCATAAGTGAATATAATGAACCCAACCGGAATTGGAACTTGGCTTTCTGCTTAACAATTTTGAGTCATTATACATTACACCAGCTGTACAACTCAGCTTACAGTATCTGGTATTCCCAAGCAGTCACCCATCTAGTTACTAACCAAGCACAACATTGCTTAACTTTGGTCATTGTACAAAAACTGGTGTTTCAACATGATGTGGTTGTAAGCCTTTGATTGTTATGGTGGAACATGTAATGCATAATACACTTTTAATTCCACGAGATGCACAGCATCCCACTCTTCACTTTTGGAGTGTTTATCAGTGGCTCATTTCATTTTCCTAGGACATTTTTAACTTGATATTGTTGTAAAGAATTGACTTTTCATCACCTGTGATCGTTCTTTTAATAAATTGGTTGTTTTTGTTGTGTTTGAGCAGTGAATTGCAGATAAAAACTAGGTCCATTAAATTTTTTTTGTTAAACTGTGAGGCACCCACATGTGTTTTTGAATCACTTATGATGTCCATATGTGTTATGTAGAATATCTTTGTCATAATCAATGACTGGTCATAATCAATGAATGGTCTTAATCAATGATTTGCCGGAATGTTCTCGTTCTCTTAGATTTAAATTTCCATCTCTGAAACTGATGAACAACTTATGTACAATACTCTCAGCTATGATACCATATCCATAAAATGGTACTGGGAATAAAAGAGCATTAATTGCATTTTGTTTCCCTCCAATTTTTCCCTTTTAAGTTAAAAACATTAAAATTCGCACCTTACACTGGAATTATATAGTAAGATATGTTGAAATGTTAACTATTTTTTAAAGCATTTCACCACAAGCAAGGTGGGTGTACCATTAGTTTGCAGGGGGTTACATAGAATGAAGGTGAGAGAAATACTGTGTATATGGTCAATGAGGAAAGGATAAAAGTTGAACAGGATTTAAGACATCAGAAGATGGCGATTGACATTGCATTTACATTTTTGAAGAGTGTGGTTATCAGGGAAGCAAGTAAACGGAAGGGAATTCCACAGGCGAGAAGTGCGAGAAAAGAAGCTGTTGGAGTAGAAGTGGCAGTTACATTTAACTATTTCAATGGTAAAAGGGTAGGCCCTAGATGTCAGTCTAGTAGCATGCTTAAATTTAAGTAGTCGGGGCACCCAGGAGAACAGTAGCCATGGTAGTATTTGGAGAAAAGAGAGAGGAAAGCCACATCATGCCTGTGAGAAAGTGACTGCAGTCGAAATTCCAAGTCAAAATCAACAGGGTGTCCTCCCCAAATCGACATAATTTAAAATGTGAATATCTGAGTAACTGCATGTCCCAGGCAAACAAAATTAAATAGGTTTCATGTTGAAGAATAAAAGATTTATTTATTTGAACAAGATATACAAAGGGATGTAGATTTTATAACCGATTTCACAAAGGTTCACAAATGTTTAATATGTTCACCACCTATGACATGAAACATGTCAAAAGCTTCAGTGTGGACTTATTTCAATGAGAATCTACCAGGAAGATGGAACAAGTATACCAGTGATAATGACAATGTGCTGTTGAAACGGCTATCACATTCACCTGACTTGTGATCTTGTGATTTTTTTCTATGGAGCTATATGAAAGGACAGACCTTTATCCACCCCATCATTTCCTACAAGCCTAGAGGAACTTAAGCAGAGAATCACTGAGGTGCTGGAGAATGTTATGCAAGACATGCTACAACGTGTTTGGCAGGAGCTGGACTACTGACTTGATGTGGTGTGCATATTGAACATTTGTCAGGCTTTGTGAAATCAGTTATAAAATCTACATCCCTCTGAATATCTTGTTCAGATTTTGATAAATAAATCTTCCATTGTTCAACATGAAGCCTATTTAATTTTGTTTGACTGTGACTTGTAGTTACTCAGATATTCACATTTTAAATGATATCAATTATTTTGGGAAACTCTGTATATGTCATAAATTTCAGTTATGTGTGAAAAGAAATCACATGTTCAAATGCTGCTTCTTGAAAAAATACTTTTGTTCTAACTCATTACATGTAAAAAAATTAGAAATCTGGAGAGTTCTTAGAATGGAATAGGGGAATGCATACCAAATTTCCACTTTAGCACCTGTAATTCCCACTTTAGCACCTGTAATTTGTTTTGTAATCAGAAAAAGCACGGACCTCATCCTTGCTATTTCCCTACCAGTTATCTTAACAAAGCTCTCTTTCTCCCTCTCCCCCCTCTCCCTTCTATCCCTCTCTCTCTTCTCTCTATCATTCTCTCTCTTCTATCTCCCTCTCTCTTTTCTCTATCCCTTTCTCTCTCTTTTCTATCTCTCTCTCTCTTTTCTCTATCCCTTTCTCTCTCTTTTCTATCTCTCTCTCTCTTTTCTCTATCCCTTTCTCTCTTTTCTATCTCTCTCTCTTTTCTCTATCCGTTTCTCTCTCTTTTCTATCCCTTTCTCTCTTCTCTCTATCATTCTCTCTCTTCTATCTCCCTCTCTCTTTTCTCTATCCCTTTCTCTCTCTTTTCTATCTCTCTCTCTCTTTTCTCTATCCCTTTCTCTCTCTCTTCTATCTCTCTCTCTCTTTTCTCTATCCCTTTCTCTCTCTTCTATCTCTCTCTCTTTTCTATTCTGCTCTCTCTTCTATCTCTCTCTCTTTTCTCTATCCCTTTCTCTCTCTCTTCTATCTCTCTCTCTTTTCTATTCTGCTCTATCTTCTATCTCTCTCTCTCTTTTCTCTATCCCTTTCTCTCTCTTTTCTATCTCTCTCTCTTTTCTCTATCCTTTCTCTCTCTTCTATCTCTCTCTCTTTTCTATTCTGCTCTCTCTTCTATCTCTCTCTCTTTTCTCTATCCCTTTCTCTCTCTTTTATATATCTCTCTTTTCTCTATCCCGACTCTCTCTTCTATCTCTCTCTCCTCTCTATTCCTCTCTTTCATCTCTATATCCCCTGTCTCTCTTCTATCGCTCTCCCTCTTCTCTATATCCCCCTCTCTCCCTTTTCTATCTCTCGCCCTCTCTTTTCTATATCCCCTTTCTTCTATTTCTCTCTCTTCTCTGTATTCCTCTATGGCTCTTCTATCTCTCTCTTTCTTCTCCCTGTGCCCCTCTCTATTCTCCCTATCCCTCTCTTCTCTCTCTCTCTATCTCTTCTCTCTATCCTCTCTCTCTATTCTATCTCTCTCTTTGGTATTAAAAATGTGATTGAACCAAGAGTTATTTGACTGAACACTAGTAAAATATGGTTGCTGGTTTTGCTCTTATTAACAGATAAATGTCAGTTTAGTGTATTACGCCTACAAATCAAAACTTTTTGCTTTGATGAATTCAGAAAGTGTGAATAAACAGAAATTCTATAGGAGAACATTGCTAATAATTAGAGTTGATTGATTTACCAATATTCCCCAGGAATGAATGAGCCTTAACGTTTTATATTTTTTGTTTCAGAAATTTCAAATAGCATATGACTAATTTTTATCAGCATGATTTTTCTAATAATATTTTGTATTTTATTATCATTATTGGAGGAAACATTGTCGGCCATTGTTAATTTTTGACTAGTATTACTTTTACTTAAATTTCATTTATGTTTTACACTTGCAGTATTAGTAGTAATATTTTCTTGAATTTTATTATTAGTAATATTTTTGACTAGTATTTCTTTTTTTTAAATTTCATTTATGTTTTAATTTTATTATTAAATGAAACATTGTCAGCCATTGTTAATTTTTGACTAGTATTTATTTTATTTAAATTTCATTTATGTTTTACACTTGTAGTATTAGTAGTAATAGTGTCTTGAATTTTATTCTTAGAGGAAACATTGTCAGCCATTGTTAATTTTTGACTAATATTTATTCATTTTAATTTCATTTACTTTTTATTAGTAGTAGTATGTTTTATTAGTAGTAATATTCTCTTGAATGATTACATGTCAGAATTTTTCAAAAGGGCTTCTTGGTCTGGCTGGGAACTTTTCATCACACCACTCATAGATATTTTACTTGTTTTATCTGTTTTTTGTTGTAGCTATTGTTGTTGTTGATTAAATTAATTATAACCTGCCTTGAACATTTTTAAAAGTTTAAAGAATCAAAACCTTCCACTTATTAATATTCCGCCGTCCTCTATGCAAAGGCAAGTAACACAACCAGCCCATTAGCTGCAATTATGAAATGTATCTTGCAAATGTATTACGAAAATAATTAGAAACAATGTAAGATTGGCTGTAGGGATTTTATAATTAAAATCAATAAGAGTGATAATTGTGTTGTTGTTGTTGTTGGTGATGATGATGATGATGATGATGACAACGACGACGACGACGATGATGATGATGATGATGATGATGACAATGACTATGATGATGATGATGATGACGATGATGACAATGATGATGATGATAACTGATGATGATGATAACTGATGATGATGTTAACTGATGATGATGATAAATTTGATATTACTGAGTGTTATGAAAAAGAGTACTTTCTGGAAAAGACGTCAGGTCAACAGATGGTAGCTCGACTGGCATTCGCTGTGGTGTACTCCTTGTATAGCAGTGCCTTATTTACATACAATACTACACTGAGGAATCAAAAAATGATGATAAACCCTCAAGAAAAGGTTTGCAAGTATATTTGATTTTAGTAATCAAGAAGTATAGCAAAACAGACTGGGTCCTATAGGCTTGATTGGCAACCAGTTTACCACAGAAAGAAACGGCAACCTACTGTAGGAAAATCTCTGCTTCATCAGTCATGAATCAATCGCTAAACGTTTATCACATATGGTACTTAATCAACTGAATCAAAAAATTGTGCCAGATAGTTGATTTTACTGTTCTAACAGTTTGGAGTATAAGCCCAGGAGTATATACTATTAGGATTTAAACTATATGGCTACCTATGCTTTCTTTTGGGAAATAAGACTAACATTTAGTTTTCCCTTGCTATCTTTTTTCCATTTTTAGGAAATAATGAAACTTAAATTATGTTAAAATGTCAATAAGCAGTTGAAATTCATTAATGAATGACGATTAGATAATTAAATGTCTCAACCTGAACATTAAGACTTCAATTATGCTTTCGAATTTACTCTCCACTTTTAATGTCTCCACGGAACCTCTAAAATTTTATTGACTATTTTTTAAAAAATTTAATCTTTTACTTATATCTTTTTTAATTTAATTTAACTTTTATTTATTTATTTTCAATAGGAGTAGATATGTTCACCTATCATCCTGTTCATGTTTCATCCTGTTTTTTAAACAGGAGTCGAGGTTTAGCAATTGCAAGACTTCTCATTCTCTTTCATTCCCAAGCAACCCCTTGCATCTTGTAGAGTGAACATAATATAAAAAAAATACTCAGCAGTGGTAGAACATAAGGGATATGTTAGTTCTTATAATCAGTAGTGAACATGGAATAATACTAGAACAAGAAGTCTGACAAAGTTTCTTCTAGGGTCAAAATGTGTTATGTAGTTGATTTTATTTTCGTTTTTGTTATTTGATTATTTACTTCCAATTGTAAACCATTTGGTAGAGGGTGAGAACAAATAAAATATAATTTTGAGGTTATAAATATTTTCTGTTTTTTTCTTTTTAAAGAAATATTAAGAGTTATAAATATTTTCTGTTTTTTTCTTTTTTAAGAAATATTAAGAGTTATAAATATTTTTTGTTTTTTTCTTTTTTAAAGAATGAAGTACAATTATATTTTATTCAGTTGGACGAATTATTTGAAATAACTCATTGCTAATTATCAGGAATCTCTTTGATAACTTTGAGTAAAAGTTGAAAAGTTTTTTGATGAACTCTTAAATCTGGTTTTCATTAGAGAAATCTTATCCCATCAAAGAGTTTTGCAACAATTGAAAATTATTTTAATCACTTGTTGTAAGTTCATGTGAATATTGTGGGTGGGTTAGAACAGACTAAGTGATCTCCAAAAATTATTTTCCTGTGTTAAACTTGTATGTGGCCTTGCTATATCATGGCGGAGAACAACATTTTTTCTTAAATTCACTGTGTATGCTGCCATTACTGTGTAAAGACTAAAGTATGTTCATGCCACCTAGACATGGCCTGAAGATTAGATTCAAGCTTGAAACAGAATGTTGCCACGAAGTGTTGACCTCAGTGCCCACATTTATAAAAATGAAATGATAATGAATCAAATATAAATTCAAATGTTCACAACATTAATTTAAAAATAATGCTCAATACAATAGTAGAGCAATATTCTTTATTATAGGATAATTAGTAGAACATGTGTAAAAAACACTACATAAAGGCACTCATATTTCAATGCATATCATTGCATTTCATCAGGTGGTAGTCTATCGCCAGAATTTTTTTCCCACTGTTCTTTATTGTCTATTGTCAGAAATGCAATGATATGCATGAATACATAAGTGCATTTATGTAGCGGTTTTTACATGTTCTAATGTAATATTCTATAACAAAGTATATATATATATATATATATATATATATATATATATGTGTGTGTGTGTGTGTGTGTGTGTGTGTGTGTATTTTCCCCACCTACGAATGTATGATACAGAGCAACCCTCTCTAGTAGATTTCAATTTTCATAAAGAATTATTCATATAAAATACAAATTTTATTGTAACTTAATCATGTACAATAATGGACCATATGTAATATATAGGTGAATAATTTAACTAGAACAATTGAAAATAAATACAATGTATCTAAATACAGATTAGAGACATGTCATATTAAATCATTCATCTTAAATAAGTCAATAATGTTTTGCAGCAATTTTTAACATTAACTTGAGATAATGTAACATATTCAACATTAGGGATAGAAAATAATGAATTTTATATAGTGTTTTTTTGAGATTAACAGGAGCAAAACAATTCCATGGATTTGGATGAAAAAAAAAAGACTCCAGCATGACGTCAAAATCCATGAAAATCTTTCTTCCTTTAATAGTCAGTTGTGCTTAATTTAATTTGTGGCATATATAAATGTAGGTTGAAAAAAAGCAAATATTGGTCATATAGCAAGGGTCACAAAGTACTGCCTGGGGCCCCAAATTGGACTTTGCCTCCCTGATCAGTCACTTTGGGTATAGTATGCGCCAGTCCTGATATATATATATATATATATATATATATATATATAAATATTTTGGCATCTGAAGGAAATAAATAGGACACCAAAAGTAAAATGGAAAATTATAAACAAGGCTAGAACATGTAAAACTTTGATGACCCATGCCTTTGTGCCTCCATGAGTAACTGCACATTATTAAGTTTCTAAATAATAATAATCTATTAAACACTAGACATGAGTTAACGGTTTTTTGTTGACATCATCAAATTCATGGTTTGAATAATTAGCTAAAAAACAAAGCATAAATATAATAACTTTTATAATTCATAGCCCAAATAAATAGTTTAAAATACCTACAAAAAAAGATAACCCTTTATGAAGTCGTCAAAAAACAAATGTTATGGCAGTTTTTTTTTTTATATGCACAAATCCCTTTCATAAAGAAATAAAATAAAAAAATAAATAAATCTCCATAGACACGTAAACCAGAGTAGGCTAAAACATCTTCCGTTTCAAATTTAGACACCCCCACCTTACCCTGACTTGACATCTATGAAAGTAACTCTATACTGATACTTATTATTAACACCCAACACACGCCTACCCAATTTAAACGATTCGCCATAGCTGTTACCATGGAAATTTTGATTTCAATTATTAAAACACGTAAATTTCAGAAATACGTTATTCCCCAAAAAATTTCGCTTGAAGATGGAACAGAGCTTACTTTAACTCAATTTAATTCAAATAATTATATTGAAGTTTTCGGCTCTTGTTTTGATACATGAGACCTCTTATGTCGCGAGTTGGAATCATATTTTTTTAAATAAATATATATATATATATATATATATATATATATATATATATATATATATATATATATATATTGTGTATTAAGGCAGCAATCCTTCTTTCATGCAAGCTTCATTAAATATGACAGGCAAGGTGCTTTGATTAAGTTTTTTACATAATTTCTCATATGATATTATAATTTTTTCTTTTAAGCATATATATATATATATATATTTGCTGTAAAAAATACATGTGCTCTGTTACCCGGATTATATACCAGCAGATAGATTACCTGTACTATATA